TGATGCTATTTAACTTGTTCATTAATGATTTGGAGTTGGGAGTAAGCAGTGAAGTGGCTAAATTGGCAAATGACATAAAGTTGTTCAAGGTGGTGAGAACCAGGAAGGATTGTGAGGCACTCCAAAGGGATCTGTCAAGGATGGGCGAGTGGGCATTAGTGTGGCAAATGGGGTTCAGTGTGGCCAAGTGCAAAGTGATGCACATTGGAGCCAAAAATCCTAACTATAAATACATATTGATGGGGTCCGAACTGGCAGAGACTGACCAAGAGTTGTAGTAGATAACTCACTTGGAGTTGTAGTAGATAACTCACTGAAAATGTTGAGACAGTGTGTGACTGCAATAAAAAAGGCTAACGCTATGCTAGGGATTATTAGAAAGTGAATTGAAAACAAATCAGCAGGTATCATAATGCCCCTGTATAACTCAATGGTGCAACCTCATATAGAGTACTGTGTACAGTTCTGTTCACCACCAGTGTTCCCTCTAAGCTGAGTTAGTGTGAACTAGTTCACAGTTTTTTAGCCTCCAGCTCACACATTTTTGTCTTAGCTCAGGAAAGATGGCACCAGCGCAAACTAATTTATAAAGTAGCCAAATTGTTCACTCACAACTTTAATGCCAGTAGCTCACAAAGTAGAATTTTTGCTCACAAGAGGGAACGGGGGGGGGTTCGCACACCCCAAATGAGGAAGGAACAGGAATGGTAAGAGCTATACTGGCAAACCTCAAAAAGGATATTATAGCATTGGAAAAAATTCAGAAAAGGGCAACTAGAATGATAAAAGGGTTAGAACACTTTCCCTATGAAGAAAGGTTAAAGCGCTTGGGGCTTGACTTCTGGGGAGGCACGAAACAACATGGCCACCTGAGCCTTTTGCTCCACCCGACCCTCCTCCTCATCTACCCCCATCTGCGATCAATAACAGTGATCAAAGCTTCAATAGATGGATAAAGCTGCAGGATCGATCCAACAACTGAATCCTTTTAAATATAAGAAGGTACAATCCATCCTTAACCCAGTACCAGCGATGGAAAAATCAGGCCTGCCCTTCTGGTACTCAGCTAAAATGGCGTCCGGAATAGAGGAGACTGATAAAGGCCTCATCTCCGGTAACACACGCAGAACTGACAAAGGAGCTGACGAAGGCACTATCTCTTATGGAGAAAACAATTTTGGAAAACATATCAGCCCACTTTAAACCTCTGTACGAACAATTAGGCACGATGCAGAACTCCCTGGCTAGGGACATATGAACACCTGCCAGTTTGGCTCATGCTCTGTTCACTGATCACAAGCAGGGACGATTTTTCGAGGACTGGTTCAGTAAGTCATCAATCTGTTTGCCGGTATTCAACATGTTGCTTCACTGTATTTATTCCTAGCCATGCATTGCGACTGAGGGGTGACATGATTGAGGTTTATAAGATTATGCATGGGAAAGAGCAGGTAGAGAAAGAGGTACTTTTCTCCCTTTCTCACAATACAAGAACTCGTGGGCACTCCATGAAACTGCAGAGCGTTCGGGTTAGAACGGATAAAAGGAAGTCCTTCTTCACCCAAAGAGTGATTAACACTTGGAATTCACTGCCACAGGAAGTGGTGGGTGCTACAAGCATGGACGGCTTCAAAAGGGAATTAGATAAGCATATGGAGCAGAGGTCCATCAGTGGCTATTAGCCACAAGGTATAGCTAGGGGCTCTGGGGCAAGTGATGCTCTGTCTTCTTGGTGCTTGGGGGGGGTCAACAGTGGGAGGGCTTCTAATGTCCTGGCCCCACTGGTGGACCTCCTGATGGCACTGGTATTTCTGGCCACTGTGTGACAGAGTGTTGGACTGGATGGGCCTTTGGCCTGATCCAACATTGGCATCTCTTATGTTCTTATGTACTCTGATTACCCACAGCTTTGTTGGGACATGCTTAATAAATACTCTGGCTCTCAAGATTAATATTGGATGATAGAGTCATGATGATGTTTTAGTGTTTCTTGGTTTAGTAACATAGCTAGACTGTTAATCAAATGGAAAAACGGGTTAAAATGTTAGCATTGCACTGGGTTCCCAGTATTATACCTTTATGAATGTTCTCTTGTATTTGTATACGTTAAGAAATAATTTATATCAATGCAGCTTGAGCTTTAAAGTGATTTGTATGATGTTATGGATTTATATATTTAAAAAAAACATGACAAAAAACAAAAAAAAATCTATGAGGAGTAAGGGGGGGAGGGGGATTTTTGGCTCTGTTAGTCTATAAAGTACATCTCGACTCTCGGAATTAAGAGCTGGGGGAGGGGGATAATTAAAACCCACCCCGGCCTCCTGCAGAACAACCCTCTGCAGGAGTATTGAGAGTGGTTTTAGGAATATATATTGTTTAAAAGCACTTTTTCTCTTTAGCTACTGTTTATAACAGCTCCTGTTACAAAGTTTGCAATAATTTCCTTAAATCTTAAATTAATCTCTCTTTGTCTTAACCTGGGAGGTGCCCTCTGACACCTCTTCTCTCTCTGTTCTCCCCCATATTCCGCACGGCTCTTCTCAGAGTCACAGGCACTACAGGTCTCTCCTGTAATGCCTTCATGTTTTCATACACATGATGCCAGATTATCTGGCCACTTGTGATAGAAAAAGTACTCTTTAGATTAGGTTTCTCTCTCTCCTTTTGACTGAAACCTGAATGTGAACTTAATCTACTTGAATAAATATAAGTTTTATTTTTGCAATATACTTCTTGGGATATTTATTATACTGCATGCAGTGTTACACTTCTATGACTGGGCAAACTCTGCTGTATTAACCAAATATTCCAATACTTGGCTGGTAGATCATGCACACAGCAAGCAGGCTGTGTTCAGCTTGGTGAGCTAGATGTTGTGGGAACCTGTTTTAGGACTTCAGATTAGTCTCTGAATAAATAGAAAGGCTTTAAAAAAGTCATAAAGCAAACAAACACTGTGTAGAAGGTAAGTGAAAGAGAACTGAGAAGGACAATGTATCTTTAGAGAACACTTCAATAAGAAAAAACAGACTGAGGATATGCCTCACTTTATGGCATACTGTTCTCTTGCCAAATCTGTGGTCCAATCTCTTCTTATTTCAGAACTTCACCATACCATTTTAGTCCAAGCAGTATTCAATACATAACATTCCACAAAGAAGAAACACAAACCATTGTGTTCTAGGAAACCTATTGTGTTACATTTTATACTAAAGGGAACAATTTGGTGGAATCGCAAGAATACTGCAGGTATCATAAGAGGACTAGCAGTACTCTTAACAGTCATTCTTAAAAATCACATCAGAGCAAATTGTGTGTTAGCTGGAGAACTGTTTTTGACCCAAGAAAAGCCAAAGTACATAGAGAGTGTTCATGACAACTGATACAAGGACATCCCCTTTTCTTCCAGAATCAAAGCTAGAGAAATGCTTTATTTTCCAGCCGTTCAGCTATTGCTGTGCTGCTGTAAGCAAGCAGGAGGAATAGTTACTTCGAGGAATCAGTGAATTTTGCTTTGCAAATACTGATCGGCTGGACTTGACAACAGTTCTGCAAGCTAAGTAAGTATTCTAACCCTTTCTAATGAATTGTGGAGCACTTAGCTAGCAGATTGCTATGTTCTTTACATCTTAGATTTGTGGGAATAGGAAGCAAGAGACATTGTGTGTTCTGGGTTTTATAAATTATTTGTGGTGTCAATGACAGTGGAGGGGGCCAACTGAATATACGTATACCAAAATCCTCAGCATTGTTACTTAATAAATGTATGGGACTTTTCAGTGTTATCAGTACTGTGTACTGATGGGGCAAAGCAATCCTTTACATTTGCTCCTGAGTGTACCCTCAGGAAATCCCAGTCACTTTCAACTCTTCAGTGAACGTAACTATAGAAAACCTTTTCAAACATTTTTGCTGTGTTCCTATACCATCTTTTAATGTATATACTACAGCATTTCTAAGAATGATAAATACTACATACCTTAGGAATGTGAATGCGTGAAGAGAGTTCTTAAATTAATAGCATTTTGTCTATTCTAAGATAATGTAGCCCACATCAAGAAAATAAAAGACCAGGCTGCTTGCCTTAAACCTATCCAGCAGTTTTTCAGGCTGTAGCCAATAACAACAAATACCACATCATCTATAGTATTTGAGACCTATTTCTGCATCTGCACTTCTGACTGCATTTTTAATTTTTCCCACATTAAAAATCTGAACAGGCTGTGCAGCCCTCCTCAGATATATAATCCTTTTCACATTAATTTATTACAAAATAATCCCAGGTGACCTTTTCTTTCCAAGAAAAGAAAGCAAAGTACAAGAAAAGAGACAATTATTGTTAGAGCAATTTTCTTCTTTCATGGTCAATGCACTCAATTTTTGAAAAAAGAAAAATTAATAAGAAACTATGTTTTCCTTTAAATATCCTGACTTTATCCTATTTTTATCTCAGAGACCCAAGAATCTTTTATCTTGAAGAATCCAGTCCCAAGGGCACAAAACATTTTAATTAGAAGAGAATGGGTATTAAAGTGAGGAACATAGTTGTCACGTAGATCTTTGGCAAAGGTCCCTTAAATAAATACATGCACATATATTTTGGCTCCTTTTGCTTCCTTTTTAAAAGGATTTTGATGGAATTTGGTGGTTCATTAAAGGTATTTGTTTCTTTAAATATCTTTTTTCCTGACTTTCCTTTGGCAAAGAAAACTACAGTGTCTCAACTTATATGAAGATCTACTTATCAACTGAATAAAGTTTTTTTTTGTCATGAATTCACAAGTTTTGAGAAACATTGAGATCTAAACACAAGTGGAGTATTTCCCAGCGTCCTCCACAGCATTCTTCACAGCTGCCAGTCAGTCAAGGGTAGCGATCCTAAGTAGCTGGTGTACACTATGAAGAACTTCTCAGTTGCACTTCAAAATGTTATCGACCAGCCTGGTACCCCTTTTCGCAACTCAACAAACACCACAATTCTGCCTGAAAGGCAACCAAGAGATGAGCAGTTAGCTCAGATAGAAATTGCTGTGCTAGGAGTGTTATTTATGGCAGCCTCTACGGGCAATTTCATTCTCATACTGGTGCTATGGAAGAGAAGAATGAAGCTGTCTAGGATGTACATGTTCTTGCTTCATCTTAGTATTGCAGACTTGACAGTTGCATTTTTTCTAGTTCTTCCTCAGCTTTTTTGGAAAATTACAGATGTTTTCATGGGTCCAGATATCTTGTGCAGAACCATCAGCTATCTCCAGTTGCTGAGTATGTTTGCCTCCACTTATATGATAGTAGTTATGGCAATGGACAGACTCCAAGCAGTGTGTTACCCTATGGTGCCCTTCAAAAAAAAGTGGGCTCTTTGGAATGCTTCCATCTGCACCAGCTGGTTTATTTCTTTGGTCTTCAGCATTCCCCAAGTATTTATTTTTCGGAAGAGAGAAGTATATCCAGGTATCTTTGACTGCCAAGCAGACTTCATTGAACCTTGGGGCACTAAGCTGTATGTAACATGGATCTCTGTAGCTATTTTCTTCCTTCCTGCAGCCATCCTGATAATATGCCATGTTAGGATATGCAGAGCCGTCCAAATGAATGTGAGTTTGAAAAACTACAGTGAATTTCAAGTAACAAACCAGAAACAGGTATTGCCATCCCAGGCAAATAATGTGAACTGTATGTCCAACGCTATGATCAAGACTATAAAGATGACAGTGGTGATAGTTGTCGCTTATGTTGTCTGTTGGTCACCTTTCTTCATTGCACAGCTATGGACTGCATGGCACCCCAGTGATGCCAGAACTGAAGGTAAGATAATCCTACTTCATGAAGGATTTCTCACCAGTTACCATATTTCTACCCATGTATACCTGGGAATTATCACTACATTCAAACAGGAGCAAAGTTTTGTATCAGTGTTTTTTCCTCCTGATGATCCTGGAAATTAAACAGGGCCAACCCTGGCAAGTATTTGGATGGGAGACCTCCAGAGAATACCAGGGCCAAGAGACCAGAGGCAGGCTATCAAGCCACTTCTGTGAATGTCCTCTGTGTCCCAGTAGGAGTCGCCAGAGGTCACCATGACTTCCAGGCATGGGCACACATGCACACAAAATGCAAAAACACTCCCCCAAAAGAAATGTGTGTATATACAACAGGGATACAATTGACATTTTAATTGCATTTTTTCAAAATAAAGTCTTTTCATAAAATTTACAAAACCTATTGCACCCAGTCTGACATCTAAAATATAGCTGGTTGAATATTTAAAGCATCAAAGTATTTTCATTAAGTGTTCTAATTATTACAACAGTATAGAAAAAATGTTATTAAAAATCTCGCTTTGGGCTATTTGGCAGCTATGTGGTTGAGTTACATAGTTCCTGTACTCTTAAATGAATGTTTTATGAAAAATTGGAAAAGATGGAAGTACTGCTTAATTCACTAACATTTGCAAATAGAAGTATTAGGTAATACTTGTGAAAAACTACAATGGCCTGACCAATTACTTGCTTCTAATAATTTTTAAATTGATTTTGAAAATAGGTAAAAGCATAAAGACATTTAGAAAGCCTCCCTCAAAAGCAAGTTACAATAACAGAACAGTAAATTAATATGTTAAAGATCAATGGAATTACTGAAGATCTGTTCTTTCAATGAATTTGTGTGCCTTCCGTGAGTGATTTGTATATTCTTTCCTTTCTAGGTCCAGTAATAGCCATTCTTATGCTCCTAGGGAATCTTAATAGCTGCGTCAATCCATGGATTTATATGTACTTTTGTGGTCAAATACCACACTGTTCAAAGAAAAAAATGGACAACGCCACTGCTCATGAGGAGTCCACCAATACAGGCAGTGTTAACTTGGGAGAGAAAGAATCTGAAGACAATATTACATCAGTATAACTACAAACAACTTCTATTATAGCTTATAGGTTGTGTAGGCACATTTCAAGAATTTTTTTCTAGTTTGGTGAAGTGCATGTGTAATAGAAAAGGTAATTTTTAGAGTATAATATGCACATATTTTAACGCCTCAAGCAAATAAACAGAAGATTAAAAAGGCCACTGAACAACAGAAGGGTCAAACTCTAAAAGGCAAATTTGGACATGCAGGTCCAACATTCAACACTCAATTTGCACATTTCAGTACATGCATTTCCAAGCCCTTCTCAGTGGTCTGCAGGCTCAGTTAGCATACCATAAAAGTCCTGATGTTTTAGACGTGGTAAGTGCATATCTGGAACTATCCTGTTTTCACAAATGAATAATTTTCAACATTCATATATTGCTTCAGAATATTCAACACATTTCATTTCTAATAATGTTGCTGCATAGCAAAGTGCACGTCAGAGGTGTGCTTCAAACCATGGTATTCCTCATTCATAACTTTTAGCCAGTATGTTATATTTTAGGCTATGGTGCATTGCTTCAGACTATAGTTGAACTTTTTTATATGAAAGAAAACTCAGATACATTTTGCATTGAATCCAGCGGTGTCTTCAGCTCATGGAAAGAGCCCTTCCTGTAATGGAAAGAGATTTTGATTACAGAAGGACTCCTTCCTCAAATAAAAGAGCATATTTGAATCTAACCCTGTGGTTTCTATCCAATTCATAGTGTTTTTCCATGTTTTGACTCAATATGTAAGAATACCTAGATTTTTATCCTAATTTGTTGTTGTTCAGTCGCACTGCTACATAAAACAAAAATAATGATTTAATTATAGTTTCTTCAAGCCATCCCATGGAGCTAGATCATATCAATTTACACAGTCACAAAAATTGTGGAGCCATTCTACAAAGGTTACCAGTCTAGGGCTTAGTGCATTACTTCTTGGAATCCTGCAATCATTGATTGACTTGATTCATACTGATCTTGTGCTGTAATCTGTGCTGGCAATTTCTCTTGATTAAATTGTTCAGCAAACCTGGGATTGCTTCCAAGTATGAAACTACCATACAATAGCTCCATTGACTCTTTGGTCTGGGAGAGAATAATGTTTTAAGAAGAAGTAGATGTAGGCTGAGGGCTACTTCATGCTTTAATTGTTTTAATAGCCACATTATAGACATACGTTGTGTACTTGCTAAACATATAATGTTCATGTATACACACCTTTATAAAAATCTTGCATATATAACCAAAATACAGTATTAAGAACTGCAATTTTCCTTGCTTTATATTTTCATGGCTAAAATGGATGTATATAGACTTTAAATGTTACTGTATTAATTACAGTGTGGCTCTGTAATTATGCAAGTAAACATCTATCACTCTCAGTTATAAAAATGAGAAACATAGGTTTCTTCTGTGGAGAAACAAGATTGACGAGTAAAGCACTTATACATTAAATGTGCTTTATAAGTTATTTTATTACTATTATTGCTCTGGGTAGGAATACAAAGAAGTATAGATTCAGATAGGTAGCCGTGTTGTTCTGAAGCAGCAGAACAAAGTTTTGAGTCCAGTGGCACCTTTGAGACCAACAAAGTTTTATTCAAGGTATAAGCTTTCGACACTTCTTCAGATACAATCACCCCACTTCAAAGAAAAAGATGCTGTAAGATTGCCTCCATGCTTAACAGGAGATGATGGAGCAAAACAGTGTCTTAGTTAATTACTCTCAGCATGCCACAATTAAGGATACATCTGTCCATCAATCTTCAATGTTGACATATTTATTTCCGAACCTAACAAAGGTTAGTAAAATGTGAAAAAGAGGGCCAATATTAAAAACTAAATGTAGAAAATATATAGAAAAAGATACATGTATTTATTAATTACAAATTTTAAAACATATATAAGGGCATCACATCACATCAAATATATAAATAACATGGTAATACATACCGGCTTAAAAACATGACCTAACGCGTTTTGACCTGCATAGGCCTTCCTCAGAGGTCAAACAATTAAGTGGCAAGATGGCTATATACAGGGCTCATTTCGTAGAAAAAGAGCTAGGGGAACTCATGAGCATAACTCATTAGCATATGCCACACCCCCTGACATCACCGGAAGTGTGTCATAAGGCCACACACCCCGCCCCCAACGGTCCCGGCCGCCACCGCCGGCC